ATGTAACACCACGATATACTCTCTCAGTGTGGTCACATGGTACCTAATGAGAATTATTATCAAGAACTGGCCGAGCTATCTCATTGTGTCAGGTTTGTACATGGAATGAGAGAATTTAACTTGATTTGACTTTTACTTATATTTAATTATTTCCACCATTAACTTTGCAACCGCAACTGTCATTCCCTAGTACAAAGGGACGAAGTCAATCTCAATGGAAATCGTTTTGTGAATAATGTGTTCAGATTTTTTTTCATACATAATCAAAAAATAAAGTTATCTATGTTTGAAATCATATTTTTGTGAGAATGAAACTGTCCTATACTTTTTTTTATTATCTATATAAGATATAAGTGGCTATTTTGACAGTTTTGAGTTAATAAATACGTTTACCATGAAAACTGCCATTTTACAAAAAAAATCCAACACGTCAACTATTATATTTTTCTTTTTCTTTTTGAATTCTTTATTAAATTTTTCCTATCATACAAAAAACTCTTTGAAAGGATTAAATATTCCTAAAATTGTAGAAAATGTCTTTAATTAAGGACATCATGGTGGCATCTCCGGCTACTTTTATGATTTATGGAGCGGATGAACTCTCATTTAGCCATAAGTACACAAACATGGTTACTTAATAGCACAGGCTATTGTGGAAGTTGCACTTTTATATTTTAAACACAGGCGTTAGGCACAATAATGGTCAAATTATCATCACACTTGTCTCTCATTGACCATCAAGATCCAGCAAACGTTTACTATATAAATTTATGATATAAAATAGTAAATGGGTACTGGTGATCAAGGGGAGATTACTTTATGATAATTTGATCAATATTGGCAAAGCAAATGTACCGAACGCCAAGTATGTTTAGTTTTCTAAATCAAAAATTTAGATTTTTTACGTTTTATAGAAGCAATTTAACTATTTTTTTACTGTCGCATATACCTGTCTTAGAATATAGTGTTTGTTTCATGAGTCACATTACCATGACTACACATATATTTATAAAATTAGACGTTTAATCAAATTCTTCACCAATATCGCCATATGACCTTAACAGTGTCGGTGCGACGTAAAAAGTCACCATAAAAAGTAGAAAGAAATCTTTTAAATTTCGAATAATCTGTTGTAGCACGGCATGGTAGACTGATGACTGTCTCGAATCTGACACAAATAAGCCTTGATCAAACATGATTGGTATACACCAAGTACTCTAATACTTCCAAATGAAACGGGACACCTACCTACCTTTCTACCTGTTGTGCTAATGCTTGACTCAGCAAAATTATAACGCGTTTTGATCAAATTGCCGTAAAAGCAGAAAATGATGTCCTGGAACTTTCTTATTATAAAATTTTATCTTTAGACATGTGAAATTATAATGATTAAACTTCGCCACAACCTAACTGTCCCGATAATACCAGATAATTTGCACCGGTATAGAAGCCTGCACACTCGTTCATCTGCAGCATTCTTGAATTTTGGACGTTAAAGACTCGCTATATATGCTTCAGAAACGAATACATTTTTTACTTCTTTCGAAAGGGAAAAATGAGTTTTATATATCGTTTGTATTATGACTTAAGAGCATGGAAGATGTTTGTTGTCTGGAGAAAGTAGCGTTTAATGTGAAATTATTTTTCAATATAAACAAAGTAGTATTTTGACTGATATTTTTCATATAAAATACAATATCACTTGTCAAACAGCAAAAGAAGAAAAATATGATTCCAGTAATTTGCCAATGAGTAACTTTTTGGAAACTATATAATTACACAAAAAAATAAAAAACTTTAAATAGAGAAATGAAAATTAAAAGACATTTCTGGGATATAATGGGCCTTTAAGTTTAACACTTCAATACAGGGTCTTTCAAATCTTTCTATTTGAAAGACCCTGTTCAATATAAGTTAGGACTTATATACTGATTGTCTTTAAATCATATAAATCAGTGTCAGCCATTAAAATTAACGCATTTGAATAAATAACTATATTAAGAGATGCAAATCTAATGGAAACACATTTTATTTCGATGTTCTGTCAAAATCATATGTACCAGGGACATGACGTGAAATGGTTGCAAACTGGACACAGTGGCTATCGAGTCATGAATATTTACAACACGTATTTTAAACCAAGTGAGCAACCACTTCACGTCCTGCTGCTTGGTATGTCGCCAAGGCTGCAATAGGTCCACCAGGATAAGTAACACTTCGCCATTGCGTGGAGGACAAGTTCGTCATGATAAGCACTCGGTTGATGTTATATTTCATTGTGGTGCAGTTAAAATTTATAATAGTTTTTCCCAAAATCATATTCAATACAAAAATGCTGGCGGTCGGTGGTTATAAGGTATTAGCCTCTGGAATGAATTAAATCTCTCTCTTACAAGTAGGGGTGGGGGATTGCTACAAAGTTTATTGTGGATTTGCATTGACCAATGAACTATCAAACTATCATAGCCATTTAAATGTTTTCTTTAATTGACATAGGTGAGAGATTTTTTTCTACCTTTCTCGTTGAATAAAAATTCCGTACAGTGACTGTATTGTACATGTACATGTAAGTGAGGAACACCATTTATTACCATAATTTCAAATGCGATCGGACTTTTAACCAAATACAAGTAAAATCAGATTGTTCAAGGTCACCTACTGACACAATGTCTCTCATCGTGCCATGCAAAAGTGCTGATGATAGCTTGTAAAAGGTTATATTGACATAAGAATTATTCAACAGTACCGATTCATCCTGTCGACCAACATCATTCACCAAAAAATGATACAAACATTTCAACACGTACAAACCACTCCTCTCATTGCTTTCAAAAAGATACCGCTCCTATAATGCTTATTATATTTATAGAAATGTTCATAGATTTATTTATTTATTATTATTATTTTTATCATTATTATTATTATTATTAATATCATCATCATCATCATCATCATCATCATCATCATCATTATTATTATTATTATTATTATTATTATTATTATTATTATTATTATTATTATTATTATTATCATCATCATCATCATTATCATCATCATCATCATTATTATTATTATTATTATTATTATTATTATTATCATTATTATTATTATTATTATTATTATTATTATTATTATTATTATTATTCTGCATTAAACATGGTATGTATATATTTATTTCAATTCAATTATGAAATTTTAATAATGTATATTTTGTATTTATTGCAATTGTTACATATGAAATATGTAAATTATGAATTTTTATTGTACAATGTTTCTCTTTGTCATTTGTCATATTATTGTTTTATTTTTTTTAGTTTTCTTCTAGTGAATGATTAAAATACAGAAAACATTACTGAGTCTTGTTCTACCACAAACACCACCACTACATCCATATTCAATAAAAGATTACATTCAAGATTTATGACGGGTTTTATTTGAAGTTTAGAACATAAATTACTTATATAGGTTGGTAAGCACGAGAAAATGGAAACATTATTTTACCACGTGACTGATAAATGTAAAAAAGCAAACAACCTCATTTTAGATTGTATTATTACTGTCAGAAATTGTTGATTGTATAATAATTGTCAGAAATTGTTGATTGTATAGTTATCGATGTCTCATAAGATGATTTTGCCCTGGTATATCCACAGTGTTAACTACGAGTGTTCTTCTTTTATTAATAATCATCAGTGGACCCAGCCCCGGTTAAATATACTGCAGTGGCTTTCAGACATTGAACAAGAATTACCCTTTTTCAGAAGTAACAACTTGTTCTTTGACATGAAAGGTGCAAAGCGTCTTATCTGGAAGACAAGTTGATTGTCTAGCTATAAAATAGCAGTAAAGGGAGATAAATACCGTTGACACGACAATTTTTTATTTTCTGATTACCTCCCTTATTTAAAAATCGAATAAGCACTGGTAGCATTACGGTAAAGATAACACGTACAGTGTTATCTTGATTTATTGTAACTATCTATTTTGAATAGTGCTCGTTACAACATCTCAAGTGCTCTCCCAAACAAAGTTATATATGTGTGTAGCACATGTGTACTTACTTGTTGTAGCCTGTATATTCAACACTTGAGATAAAGTGTTACCTATCCCTTTATGATTTAAAAACGCAACGTCAAAGAAGATAAATAGAAATACAATTTTGATCTACGTATGATAAATAGGAATGAGAAAATCATGGACCGAGTAATCAGAATATAGGGTACTTTGTTATTGATGTAATTTTCAGCCAATCACTAACTTTTATACTATTTTCAGTATTCTTATTTACGACGGACTCAAACAACAACCAAGCAGACATCAACTAAATGTTTTGGAAGTTTTGTTGTTGCTTTTGGTTTTGTTGATGTTGTTGCTGCTGCTGCCGATGTGTTTATCACCAGAAAGCGATCTTTTGGCTCCAAAAAGAAATTACTTTATTAGTTCTGAGTATAGCCGTATATACTTATGTAATAAAAGCGCTGCAAGCACTGTTTAAGTATGAAACCCTGATATATAGATTGTAAAAGCATGTAACTATTTCTTAATTTCATCAAACATAAAAAACCATTAACTTATTTATCTCTATGGTATATGATTGCTTAAATCAATTGTGCCTTTAAAACTTAGAACGGTTCAGTATTGAAGAACTAAGATCTAGTAAGAGGTACGCTTTTGTGTTAAAGTTAAGTGTTAAAGTTTACGAGTAATATTTTCCAGTATGTTTTTAATGTGACTTCAATGAGACACATTTGCTAAAAGTTCCAAAGAACTACTTTGTCTTGCTATATAACAGGAAGTCCATGCTCTCAGTACTGCTGGGTGTATTAATTGTGACGTTCATTCACTTTAATCAATAAACGCAAAAAGACATATGAAACATTATTTTGAAATTATAAGCATCATTATTAAATGTTTCGGACAATAACGTGAAAGGAAGGGACGAAATTTATGTGTTTTTAAAAATATTATTTACATACGAAAATACCTAAATACTAAGTTAATAAAGATGATTTTTTTATTTATGACAAACATAAGCAACAGCTGCCAAAACGTTGTGATTTCACTATTAATTAGATAATGTCGAGGTAGTCAGTATTAATTTGTGACTAAAACTATAAGAAGCCACACTGCAAATGTTTATAAATATGTATTGTCAAAACTTTCATTTGTAATTTCGACAGAGAAATGCGTCGCTGGCAATTATTTACAATTCAATGTCATGTTTTTGTCGCAATTCTTCTTTTTATAGACGGTGCACTTATTTCAATAGTGTCCTCCGACATATATGTTGAGCTTTTGTTCAGTTTTAAATTAGTGAAAGAGTCCTCGAGCCAGTCTAGAAATCTCGGATCAAACGAGATTTCATTTTCACCAACTTTTACTTTTTGACCATTTACTTGAGTTATAGAGTTGTGCACATTCAGATTGTGTGTGTTTAAAGTCACTGCATTTTGAATATTGTTCTTTTTAAATTTAGCATGTGGATGCGTTTCTTCGGCAAGAACATACGTTTTGACGTTAGGTATGACGTCATCTTTAATGTCTTTGAAGGAGACTTCTTTACCCCAGTTTGGATTTTCTGGAAGTCTATATGAGCACTTAATATTTTTATATGATTCACCGGTATCATTAATTGTGTCTGTTTGTTTGACAGCATTAGTTCCACCGTTATGTTTAGTATGAAGCGCTGAACGCAAAATCCGCACATGTTCGTCACTCGATAGAGGGCGAGTTGCTTGCCGGTCGTCTGGTACTGGCGATGGTGCAGTTACGTCAAACATTGGCGAACGAGTATGAATAACATAATCTTCCGATGTGCTGTCATTAGGTTGAATAAATTTTTCCTGATTTAGTTTAATTCTCCGCCGAAAGAGTTTAAGCGATGTTTGTAAAGAGTTTTGTCGTTTATCGTTTTCAGCACAAATATCTTTATACGCCAGCAGACCTTTCAAACCTTCTTTCCTCATTGCAATTGCACTTCCCCTTATTTCATAATCATTAGGATGTCCTAAATCTGCCAAACTACTGTTAACTGTTTTAACCTCTTTATTGTCGGTGATGTGAACTATAGGTGCTTTCTGTTTACCTATAGTGTATTCGTCCATCCGGAAACGGACTATTTTCGGCTTAGACTTATTATCATTTAACGCGGTTTTCGATCGAATCAACGTATTTCTTAGTGATTCGTGTGGGTCTGTTTGAGGCATTTTGTTGAACTCGTAAGAACACTGAGCGTAAAGTCCCGTTCGTTTGGTGGAATGAGAACGTGGACTTTTTACCTTTTTTAATCCTTCGACGTGAATATTATGCAAATTAGTATAATTATTGTTGTTGTCGATATTGTCGATGTCTTGTATTGACGAGGACACGTTAGTTATTCTTGTAGTTGCAGAAGAGCTTATGTCACTAGTCTTCTTTGATAATAAATTACTCTTTACAGCTAATCCAACTATTTGCCGGCGTAGTGTTTCTTTTTCGACAGGGGACGTCACTCTAGATGTATGAGGACTGGAGCAGGCAGTTGAAACCTGCAGCATCTTTTCTGGTTTTCCCCTGGAAATATAATAACAATCATCATTTAAAAAGTTCTGTCGCGTTATACTGTTTAATCCGGGTAAAAGTGTTATGGAATTGTCTCACTTTTGGGCTATTGCACACATCTTAGCGGTGATAACCCAGTGCTGATTCCGATAGAATCCTGCGATTATAATTATTTAGTTTTTTAAAACAGTTTCACCAATATAAATAATATTCTGGTATAGCAGATATATTGGAAAACTCATTTGAAATTAACCATAACCATTAACCATTTAGGTTCAATCTCTGTTTTATGTTGGTACAACTATGTATCTTAGACTTGATTGGAAATTATACAGCGAACTAAATGTTTCTCTCCTCTGCTGCCAATAATTATAATAAAAATAATATTGATGCTGATGATGATGATACTAATGATGATGATGATGTTGATGATTTATAAATCACAAAATATCTTAAATGCCTGCACAGCCTGCACTATGAAAACTTCATTTGAACATCTTTACACAGCCTTACACTGGTCAATGTGAAAATCTCTCTTAATGACAAAATAAATACTATCACAGATTGTGTCCCTGTTATGTACAGGCGACCCGCATCTACATCTGCATGATACTGCTTAACAATCAATTTTGATTATGACTAGCAGGCGCGTTGTCAGGGAACTGTTAAAAAAGAAATTATTTATATGCAAATTAAAAAGTTAAAAGAATAAAAGTTTTACAAGACTATTAATTTAAAAGACATTGCGTGCAATTTAGAATTTATAGAATGAGTCAAGCCTCTCAGTAAAGATGTTTAAACTGGGGCTAGACTGAACAGTTAGAGGAAGACTTTTCCAAATTCATATGCTCGAAGGAAAGAAAGAAATGTCCTCGAGTGTCGGGTGTCAGGTAGTTCAGATTTCTTGTTTGAGTAAGATATTGGTGGTCAATAAAGACAATGTTGTTTTGGATTTTATTCGCTGACTGGCGTTTAATTAATATAAACCATGTTTAATTATTCAAAAATTAAGCTTGTAATATTTTTTTGTGAATGGAATGTAATGAAAAATATTTAAAATGTAAGATTTCATAGGGAAATACTGTACCGCAATCCATCAAACTTTCCAAACTTTCCTTCTTTCCGTCCAGTCATTCCAATATTTTATAATTAACATAGAATTTCTACATATTGATTTAAATCATAAAATGTGAAACGTTTATGAGCATAACTAAATTAGGATAACTGTGTATCTATGACGGCGACGTCATGTAAACTTTAGTGACGTGTAACCGTTATTTGTACATCGTTGACGTCAGTTAGACGTAGATAGGTGATTTTTAATGAATTAAGGTTCAAAATTAAAACTGTTTTACAATTTGAATAAAACTATATTATGCAAGCCTCTGGCTCATAGAATCGATTTTCATTACGCTTACATTTACCTCGGTTTTACGCTACAAACGGAAATGACGTCACATCAAATTTATACGCACGACCGTGAAATAAATAGAGGATATTGAATGAGTGTAGTTTAATACTAAATTTATTGAACGAGTTGAATGAAATTATATTATGCAAGATTTTTCTCTTCAAACTGATTTCGTGTTTTAAGGTATTTGATAAATGCAGTTTTAACAATCTTACAATACTAACCGCGCCAGTTAATGAATTATGAGTGAAACACAATACAATGTAGCATGAAAATTTAATTAATTCACGTACAGTATCCGACAATTGCAAGTGCACAACAATTGGTAACTTATATTGTGCACGACTCTTATAAAATATGCTGTCGGTGTCCTTCTCAATTACTGATATATCTTTCACAAATGTTATACATGTATTGTTTTAAATCTTTAATTTAGATAAAGACAGTCTTTTTATCAAATTTTTTTTTATATTATGAAATCTAAAATGCTATAATGCCACGTTTACCCCTTTCAGTGTACTAAGGTAGTCAATCCGTTCAGTATAATAGTTGAACAAGTTTACCTTTTCGTATGCCATGGATACTGTAGAGCTGCGAGATGCTGGTTAGATGACAGAGTTGTCATTGTAGATATCTTATTGTCACAAAATTGATTAATTTACAAATATTTCCATTGTTATCATCTTTAAGAATGTCACTGTTAATTAAAATATTTATAAACCACAATGTTAAAATGACGTCTAACTGTATACTAAAGTAATGTAAATATAACATAAGAAAGTGAAATTTGACAGATTACTCTTGAAATGATAACAAATTTACACCACTCAATGTATTGAATAAGATTATGCAATTTACTTTATATAAATTTGAAAATAAGTGATAAGAATCTAAATTCTTGATTCGTTTCCAAGATATTCGTGTTTATCACTAACAGGAAATACAATCAGAATTTGGAAAAAAAAATAGCACGATTTGTTTTAATTAAAACGTGGCGGTTTACAATGGTTTCTATATTTAATGCTAGTTTTAATTTAACTAAATATCCTGCATTCTCCAGTCTATAATATCACACGCGTTTCAACTTTCTTATCTCAGCGTAAATCTGATCATATCCTTCGATAATCCTTAAATCAATCAAAGTATATGCATATCAGACCATTAAATAATCCACTCGCTTCTAAACACCACAATACAATAATCCCTACTGACATACAAACATAAAACAACGCGACTTTTGTTCGTGAAGACCACGTCTTTAACTAAAAGGTTACAGTTGAGGAGGGCTAGTTGCTACTTGTAGAATCAGTTTTGTATAAAACTCGAGTATTATTATCAAAATATTTCATATTTGGAAGTACATAGAGGCAATTTGATATCAAAGTGGTAACCTAAGACAGATAGGCTTTTGAGATAAGAAAATACCATTCATAATATTTGTTCAGAAGAAGTAAGAAATGTAAATAAATCTATCGCCTTATTGATTAAATAAAATCAGACAGTTTTTGGCTATTTAATTTTTTCGGGTCGGCGTATATTAAAGACGTGGGATTTAAATCAAAGGTTGTATAGGGTCAGACCAATTGCAGTAAAATACAAAAAGAAGGACAGACTATGTAAGCAGATACGGACCATTAATACAGATCAGGTGTTTAATTAACGCGACAGCCTTGTTGTATTTTAATGTCATGTATTATGGTTATATATAGACTTATTTTGTCGGTCACATGGAGTGTCTGTTAATTAAAATAACAGACAGTCATGAATTCACAATATTCATTTCATGAATTCACGATTTCAACTACATGATTGCAAAAGTTGAAGTTTTGGAATCAATAATATTATGAATTCAATATGTAGACATTGCGAAGTTATAGTGTTAAATATCAAAACCATTAGATGGAAAGTAAAACTGTCCAATCCTGGGGAATGAGGGGGTATGGTCGGGGGGGGGGGATGAGAGACTTTCAAGTTTCAGTTCTGGATAAATGTAGCAGCGTTTTAATGGTCACTGCGAGGTACCTATTTATACAGTTGCTTCTGTTTGTTGAAAACCACCGGTATATTCTCTTTTAAAGAGGGGAATTTGTCTTTGCTGTTTATGAGAAATACAATGTAAATTGATGTGGAATACATACTACTATGTTTGAAAGTATACAAACATGAAATGGCGAAAATGCATTGCCTAAATTGTTCCCCTGTACTTCACCTCTTCAACGCGGTTTCATCCTTTTTAAGAATCCGGCCATTTATTAACCCCAACCCCAAAACCGCATCTTATGTCAGGTTACATTTACATGTATATCTCAAACTACCAGAACTATATACCACCAATCTTTATAATTGTGCAATTATGAGTAAAGTTACTTGAAACTTGAAACTTGAAACTTTTTATTTAATTAAACGCCTGTTTCTATTTAACAATATTCAACGGCGTTGTACAGTACATATAATATAATAAGAATAAAATTGTGAATGCATAAGAATATGTGGATCAACATCAAATGAAATAAAAGCTTTTACATACAATTCCAATTAACATATTTTTAAAAAATTTTAGAGACCATAAAATGATAAAACTGATATACATGTAGCATGAGATAAGATTATTTACATACATGTAACTTGATTACAAATAGATTAAAAAGAATAAAACATTCATTTACATTGCACATTCATCACACTGTCAGTCATCAGTTATACGTTACTCATGTTTATCTCATTTCAGATTTTAAAATAGTGATTCAAACTTTCTGAAAAAATGTGTTTTAAGATTTCTCTTAAATACATCAATATTTTTAGATTGTTTCAACTCTAATGGCAGCGGATTCCACAATTTTGGACCAATAGTTCCGAAACTTCTGTCACTAAATGTTTTTCTTTTATTGAATGGAATAACGTAGCAGTTCTCAGAGGTTTTAGCTGAACGTAGTCGGGTATTTGGTACTTGTTTGGTTAGGAGTTCAGAAAGGTATTTTGGAGCATGACCGATTGAACAATTGTATACAAAAGTCAGAATTTTATATTCGATTCTAGATTTGATGGGCAGCCAGTGAAGGTCGAACAATGCTTGCCTTGAACTGTCAAATTTCTTTCGTTGCAGAACTAACTTAGCGCACATGTTTTGAATACGTTGCATTTTTTTCAATTCAAAATCGGATACACCATAAAGAATGACATTGCAATAATCCAAGTGTGACATTACGAGTGCTATTACTAGTATTTCAGCTGCTTCTTTGGTGAGGTATTTTCGTTTACGTTTTATTCTAAGATAGTTTAACATTGCAGTACGGCACTTTCGTTTGACATGTTCCTTGAAATTTAGTGTTTGGTCTAGAAATGCGCCTAAATATCTAATGGACTCTTCGGAGTTGATCTTATCTCCGTTAATACAAATGGATTTTAGGTGACACTTTTCGAGTTGTTGAGAACTTCCAAATGTTATGAATTCTGTTTTCGATGAGTTCATCTTGAGTTTATTAGCGTTCATCCAGTTGTTGATATCAATCGCACCATTTTCTAATTCAGCGATTGCAGAAATTTCACTATTTTCTTCAGTCGGTTTAAAATGTTTGGTTGCAGTATGGTCATCAGCGAATCC